TCAGTCACCTGCCTACTTCTCGGGAGGTTCCTCAGTGAGTCCGTCTCTCCACTCCCCCCTGCCCGGTTCCTTCATCCGGCGGTAGGTTTATTTAACGTTTCCCCTCTCGTTCTCCCTATCTCTGTGTCTAACTTTGGCTCTCACCGCAGATCGATCAGTCCTGCCTGCGCTGATAGTCCACCTGCTCACCGTGCCGCAGCTCCCAGTGTTTGGTTCCCTCGCTGTTTAATTAAACGTCTGAAAATTGCTCTTGCCTTCTGTGTTGGTTCTGCATGTGGGTCAAGCACCTCAAAACCATGATAGAACAACACTCTGGCCACACTGACCCAGCAGACTCAGTTGGGAGGACGCTCTCCACCCACCAAGAGCAGCTTCAGACGCTAGGTTTAGCCGTGCAGTCCACACAGGGTCAGCTGCAGGGACTCTCTGCTCAGATCAGTCAGCTGTCTGACGCAGTGCTCGCTCTATCGCACGTTCAATCTTCCGCTTCTATTAGTGCTCAGCCCGAGCCCGCGCCTGCGGCCCTGCCTTCGCCTGTCAGTGAAAGCTCCTCTCCGAGCCCAGAGAAGTTTTCTGGGGAGCGTGGGTACTGCGGAGGTTTTTTATTTCAATGTTCGCTGGTTTTTAATCAATCCCCACGAACATATGCCCTAGATAACACTAAAATCTCCTATGTCCTGCGTCTTTTGTCTGGGAGAGCTTTAAGATGGGCTGAGGCACGTTTCCCCGACTGCCGTAATTTTGGCTGCACATTTAATAACTTTGTGCAGGAGTTTAAAATGGTGGTTTCTGCTGAGTCCGATCCTGCGCAGCAGTCCCGTCAGCTGCTGGCTCTTAGGCAGCGCGGTCGGCGCGTCTCTGACTTTGCCATAGAGTTCCGCACCTTAGCAGCGGCTGCTGGTTGGGAACCGCGCGCCTTAAGAACTGTGTTTTTTCATGCCCTCGATGAGTCCCTCAAGGACGAGCTAGCCCGCCTTGAGGAACCCGACTCTCTTAATGAGTTTATCGCATTAGCCATACGGTTAGATAACCGTTTAAGGAGCAGGAGTGGTGTGAGGACGGAAAGACCCACACGCCCGTTGGCTCCTCCTCTCCCCGAGCGCGCTCCTCTCCGGCCCGTTGCGGCTCCCCCCTCTCCTCCGGAGCCTATGCAAATAGGTTGGGTCCGTCTAACACCTGAAGAGAGGCAGCAGCGCATGGATGCCAGGCTATGCCTTTATTGTGCCGCCTCTGATCACTTTATCAGTGCCTGTCCGCGTCGGCCAAAAAGATCAGGTTCGTCGGCAGTAGTGGGGAGGCCGGCGGACCCACTTCAGTTTTCGCACCCCACATCACCTCGTCTCTGCTTACGAGCGACTGTTCCCACGGCTCGTAAATCTCTAAACCTTTCAGCCCTAGTCGATTCGGGCTGTGACTTCAATCTCTTAGATCACTCCCTAGTTCAGCAGCTCGGGATCGAGATGGTGCCCTTGTCCACGCCTCTCCAGGTATCCGCCCTGGATGGAGGCAGCCTTCCCCAAATAACCCACCGAGCCCAACCCTTGGAGGTTTTTATATCAGGAAATCACCGTGAGCGGATCTCGTTTTTTGTTTTCCCAGTAAAACAAGCCCCGCTTGTCCTCGGTTATTCTTGGCTACAAGAACATAATCCCCACATAAACTGGGCGGAGCAGCGCGTCGAGTCTTGGTCCCCTGCATGTCATTCTCGCTGTTTACTCTCTGCGGTTCCCTCCAATCCTTCAGTGGATGGTCCAAATCAGTCTCTGGACACGGTCGATCTTAGTTTAATCCCGAAACAGTATCACGATTTAGGAATGGTGTTTAACAAGAGCAGTGCAGCATCTTTACTGCCGCACCGCCCATACGATTGCGCTATTAACCTGTTACCCGGAGCACCGCTGCCCACCAGCCGCCTATATAATATCTCCAGAGCTGAACGCCAGGCTCTGGAGAAGTACATCAGTGACTCCCTAGCCTCTGGTTTCATCCGTCCTTCTTCCTCTCCACTTGGAGCTGGCTTCTTCTTTGTGGGGAAGAAGGATGGAACCCTCCGTCCGTGTATAGACTATCGTGGTCTTAATCAGATTACTGTAAAAAACAAGTATCCACTACCCCTTCTCTCTTCTGCGCTAGAGCCGGTCCAAGACGCCAAGATTTTTACCAAACTAGACTTGCGCAATGCGTACCATCTAGTTCGGATCCATCAGGGGGATGAGTGGAAGACGGCTTTTAAGACCCCTCTGGGTCATTTTGAGTATTTGGTAATGCCCTTTGGGCTTTGCAATGCCCCATCCGTCTTTCAGGCTTTGGTTAATGACGTCGTCCAGGACTACCTGAATGTTTTTGTCTTCGTTTACATCGATGACATTCTAATCTATTCCCGAAACCTCACTGAGCACATCCGTCATGTTCGACTCGTCCTTCAACGCCTGCTTGAAAATCGTCTGTTCGTTAAGGCTGAGAAGTGTGAGTTTCACCAGTCCTCTGTAACCTTCCTCGGTCTCATTTTAGAGGGGGGACAAGTCAGATCTGACCCTGATAAGATTAAGGCGGTCCTTGACTGGCCCATACCTGAGACTCGGAAGCAGCTCCAGCGTTTTCTTGGCTTCGCAAACTTCTATCGCCGTTGCATAAGGGGCTACAGTCAAATAGCCGCCCCCCTACATGCCCTCACCTCACCGAGGGACCAGTTCATTTGGAACCCTGATGCTAACTCTGCGTTCGAGAAACTAAAGGAGAGGTTCTCCCAAGCACCTATCCTCGTGCAGCCCGACCCTCTTAAACAATTCACTCTCGAGATAGACGCCTCTGACACAGGGGTAGGTGCTGCTCTTTCTCAACAGTCCGACACTGACCGTAAGCTCCACCCCTGTGCTTTTTTCTCTCGTCGTCTGTCCTCCTCAGAAAGAAATTATGATGTGGGCGATAGGGAGTTATTAGCCATTAAACTGGCCCTGGAGGAGTGGCGCCACTGGCTTGAGGGGTCCGAGCAGCCTGTCATTGTCTGGACGGATCATAAGAACCTGGCCTACCTCCAGTCAGCTAAACGACTCAATCCTCGGCAGGCACGCTGGTCACTGTTCTTCTCCCGTTTCAACCTGTTGATTTCCTACCGCCCTGGCTCCAAGAACCTTAAGCCTGATGCTCTTTCTCGCCTCCATGCCCCACAAGACACGGATCCAGAACCAGGCCCCATCCTTCCATCCTCCTGCACCTTTGGCGCTCTCCAATGGGAGATAGAGGATCTAATCTCCCAGGCTCTAGAGGACGATCCAGATCCAGGAACTGGACCCCCCAACCGTCTCTTTGTCCCCAAGACTGCCCGCTCCCAAGTTTTAGACTGGGGCCATTCAAACAAGCTCTCGGCTCACCCTGGCTTCCATCGAACTCTCAATTACATCTCCCGCCGCTTTTGGTGGCCATCCATGGCTAAGGAGGTCCGGGAGTATGTACTTGCCTGTCCAATCTGCGCCCAAAACAAATCGTCCTACCGGCCCACTGCTGGTTTACTTCAACCACTTCCTGTCCCAAGTCGCCCTTGGTCTCACGTCGCCCTAGATTTTGTGACTGGTTTGCCTTCCTCACAGGGAATGACGACAATCTTAACAATCATTGACCGATTCTCCAAGGCTTGTCACCTCGTTGCCCTCTGTAGACTCCCCACGGCCTTTCAAACTGCTCAGCTCATGATTAAGCATGTTTTCCGCTTGCATGGCCTCCCCCGGGACATTTTATCTGACAGGGGTCCTCAATTCACATCACGGGTCTGGAAAGAGTTTGCCTCTGCCCTAGGTGCCAGGTATACTCTTTCTTCAGGTTATCATCCCCAAACTAATGGTCAGACTGAGCGGCTTAATCAGGAACTCGAGGCAACCCTCCGTTGTCTCACTTCCTCCAATCCGTCAGACTGGTGTAAATTCCTTCCTTGGGTAGAGTATGCCCATAACAGCCACACATCCACCGCCACTGGCTACTCTCCCTTTGAGGTCTCCTTAGGCTGCCAGCCCCCCTTCTTCCTTCAGAGGAGAGACGAATCTCTGTCCCATCGGTTGACAGCCATGTTCGTCGCTGCCGACAGTTCTGGGCTGAGACCGTCCAGGCTCTTCACAGAACTGCCGAACAGAACCGCAGATTCGCTGACCGGAAAAGAATACCAGCACCTCCCTATCGTGCCGGCCAGCGAGTCTGGCTGTTCACCCGAGACTTACCCTCCAGATCGACCCCCCGCAAACTGGCACCCCACTTCTCAGGACCTTTTACTATCGAATCCATTGTCAGTCCCACAGCTGTCCGTCTTCGCCTCCCCACACACTCCCGAGTGCACCCAACGTTTCATGTGTCCCAAATTAAGCCTGTGCTCACCAGCACGTTGTGCCCTCCGGCCGTTCCCCCTCCGCCCACCCAGGATCTTCAGGGCCGCCGGATCCAGCGGATCGTGGCCTCCCGTCCTCGGGGTAGGGGCTGCCAGTACCTCGTCGACTGGGAGGACGGCAACCCCCAGGACCGATCGTGGGGGCCCGGCTCTGCCGTCACAGATCAGTCCCTGATCGACGACTTCCTTGCCTCTCGCCCCTCCACGTCTTCCTCTGGGTCGCCGGGTGGCGACCGTTGAGGGGGGGGTGGTGTCAGGGCTCTGCCTTTTTCTCCCTTCTCTGCAGGTGGCTGGAGCTGACAGGTGGGCGTGGTACACACCTGTGGCTTGTTCAGCGGCGTGCGGCTCTGCTATTTAAGCAGCACTTTGACAGCTGATGGACGCCAGAGTGTTAACCTTGTTGGTACGCTTAGAGGCCTCTGTCTGTGACAGCTTACCTTTTTCTCAGCGCTAACCCAAGTCTCCTGTGTTTCCCAGGTCTTTTCTCCTTGTGAAAACTGTTCCAGTGTTTCCTCGAGCTCCGACGTCTTCAGTGGAAGTTCTCCGGTTCAGACTGTTCTGGATCTACCTCTGAATAATCCCTCCAGCTCCCTTGGTGGTACCAAGCCGGGCTGGAGAGCCATTCAAGCCCTTCTGGTTCCATCAGCTGCCCCCGGATTCCTCCTCGGCCGCTGCTGCTCGGGCCCCTCCTCACAGACTTCAATCACCTGCCCACCTGTCGCTCAGTCACCTGCCAACTTCTCGGGAGGTTCCTCAGTGAGTCCGTCTCTCCACTCCCCCCTGCCCGGTTCCTTCATCCGGCGGTAGGTTTATTTTACGTTTCCCCTATCTCGTTCTCCCTATCTCTGTGTCTAACTTTGGCTCTCACCGCAGATCGATCAGTCCTGCCTGCGCTGATAGTCCACCTGCTCACCGTGCCGCAGCTCCCAGTGTTTGGTTCCCTCGCTGTTTAATTAAACGTCTGAAAATTGCTCTTGCCTTCTGTGTTGGTTCTGCATGTGGGTCAAGCACCTCAAAACCATGACAAAGAAAAACAAGTAATGTTTGTTTTAAAAATGTAAGGAATAGAAAGTACCGATACTTGTGTGAAAATCTAATGAGTAGACGTCAGAAATAGGAAGAAAAATAATTAATAGAGTAAAGTTTAGATATAGGTTTTGTTTGTGATATAGGTCAAAGAAGTGCAGCAGAGACAAAGCTTTTTTCAGTCAAAATGGAATATTGGAAAAATTATGTTGACAAAAGATGAAATAATTTCAGTAGTTTTTAAAAATGCCCACGCGCATTGCAGTTGGATGTTATAAATGGGGTAAAAGTGAAAAAAAATTAGTTATTTCACCTTTCCGATTCTGTCAAGAATCGCAGACAGATGGACCCAGTATTCAGGAGAGACAGTCAGTAGGAAAGTTCAAAAGGTTTATTAAAATAAAAACAAAACAAAAGCGGAGCTGTGGCTCGCGGACACTGCAGGCGGGGGGGGCGAGGGGGTTGATGGGGGCGCCCAATCTCAGACACTCTAGGGGAGGAAACACAGGTAAGTGACCACGATAAACTGATATATAATCATCTGGGTTGGTCACTTACCTGGTTTAACAGTCCAGACCACGAGCGTCCCCAGTGCTGCAGTCCCAGACGACATGCTGGAAGCTGATCCTGGTGAGGGATCCAGAACAGACAGGAACAGGCAGGATCCAGATCAGGCAGGAAAAGAGACAGGTGGCAGGATCCAGACTTCCAGACATGCACAGGCTTCCAGGAGGGTTCAAAGTCAGACTGGGACCAGAAGCATGACCAGGTGGTCACGCACAGGAGCAGACAGGATCAGGTGCAGATAGGCAGGCACAGTGGAAGAGGGTAGCCGAGACAGGACGTAGGAACCGGAACTTGAAGCAGACTTTAAACTGGTCTCCACCCTGGAGCCAGGCTTACTTAGATAAAAACTGAACCTCCCCCCATAATGAGCCAAAAACCCAGAGGACTCCGCAGGGGAGGAACAGTGGACGATCAGGAGACGAGACAAACACTAAAACCCTCTTTCCACTGGCTGCTAGGATCCAGGACATGAACCAAATAAAAACTGAACAGAAAGACTGACAGACAAGTAATGATCTGGCACTGAATGCTCAGGCTGAACTGAATATAAACCACAGGAAACAGGTGAGGGGAATAAATTATAATTGAGGCTGGGAAGGAAGGGGGCAGGTGAGAGGAATTACTAATTAGGGGATAGCAAACAGGCCAGATCATGACAGATTCATGATCCTCTATGGAATGGGTTCTGCGGTCCTGGTCGTTGGATATCCAACTTGAAGAGGGAGAATTTGCCATCAAACTTCTGGCCTGAGAAAAAACACGTAATATGTAGCCAACATTTCGAAGAGGAATGTTTTCAAGATAACTTGGGCAACAGTGCATTGTCACAAACACCAGATACAGTGTTGGGACTTGTTCAACGATACCGCACTGGGACGTCACAAACTGGTAGGTGGCAGTAGTGTTATTTGACAACATCGATGGCTCCAGTAAAGCACATTCAAATGAAATTACTTATCATTTATTGAACAGTGTGTAATAATGTCATTTTTAATATACTTTCAGAAGTTTGTATTCTGAATGTGACATGACTTCTCCTTTAAGTAAGTTAGGTGCACAAGCATATAGATAACATTTGCTAAAAAGTATCATCACACACTTTTTCTGTTTACGTACAGGCTGGCGTTATAAATGCAGTTTCTACACTATCTCTTTAAATAGGCCAAAAAGAAAGAACAATTTTAGGGGGATTTTTCAGGTTTTATATCTATTAACTAGAGGATAGAAAAAAAAAAAAAAACTCTGACGGAAACTTTTATTCTTATTTAACCTTATCCACCAGTTTGGTTTATGACTGCAGGACAGGTATTTGCTACAAGGACTTCTAGTTGAAAATCAGCCTTTAGAAACTCCAATTAACCACTGCTTCAAAGTCAGGCATGTGGGGGTGTGTATGTTTTAGTTATATGAAACTCTCTTTCATATTTTAGACAAATACTCTCCTTGACTATGTGTTAAAAAAAAAACACTTAAAAATAACTGTGCTGGGTGGCACAGTAGAAATGGCAGCATGTATTGCCTGATTTTGTGTGTATAAATAATGTGCCATGAATAACAGAGAGCAACAAAGTCAAGGTCCACGGTCGGAAAAATTTCTTATTACAACATGAACTTTAAAAAATATCTATAAATCCACTATCTTGAGACAACTTCCAGGCATACTGTTTGTAAATAATACAGTAGTCAAGATATACAGTATTCACAGTTTGGATTTCCACATGCTGGACACCAAGTGTTTATTAAACTTTTGGGTTTTAGTTTAAGTAGCACATTAACAGCATTTAAAGCACACTGTTTGCATGTTACTATACATGTAATGAATAGTATCTTTATTTGGGATTTTTTTTTCTGGGCTCTTACATTACATGAATATATGATTTAATCAGTGGTTGTTCTTGTGTCTCTACAGTAGGTAGCGAATGCATTTTGTGACTGTGACACAGCAACATGACAATTTCAAATTTTTCTATGAGAAAAAGCTCTAAATATTTTAGTCACTTTGGCTGAATTGCAAAATAATCCTAATTCTTGACTCTTTGCTGTGGTTCTCTGTTATATGGAGAAGCTCCTACAGTAAGAGTTAACTACATTTCAACAGCAAAAGGTAAGGTATGAAAGTTAAAAGGGAAATGTGGTGACAGTAATACACTCTAACTGTCTGAAGGTTTCACAGAATTAAAAAGGGCAGGCTGTGGCCTTTCTTATTCTCATGAAAAAGCAGGTCGAGCTGTGCCCACAAGACATTCTTTGATGTCTCAGCCTTAAACCGAAGCCACAGAAACCCTTCTGCAGTATCTTCAGGGAAGCAGGGTTGCTCGATAACAAACCGGAATCACAGGTGACTGCAGAGATTGAGAAATAAACTCTATTTTGTTGCACTGGATGATAAAGGACAGAAATTCCTCATTTCAGTTGGAATGTGATAACAGGTTATAGGAGCACTCTTTATTCATTTTTTTAAGAGCATGTGAGAAACCATGTGAATGGAGATAAACAAGCTTGATAAGTTGGCAATAGGAAAAGGGTTTGTTGACAGGAGCAGCAAGGGTGACTGAATACTGTTGACACTGATATACACTTGCATAGTCAAACACTTCACTTCTTTTATGTAGAGCAAAGGTTGAAACTACTGCAGACACACAGCTCCTAATAACTATCAGTCTTCAGTTTTATGTGTTGTTGCTGGATAAAATTGCAGTGTTTTGCAAGAGTTAGAAATATTTTCCATTTATATTCTACGAAGCAAGAAAGTGACGAGACAGAAGATTAAATTTGCAGCTCTTAGTACGCCCAGCAGGGTCAAAGGCCGAGACATGAAAGCTACTATTATCCTTGTGTCATTAATATCTGAAAGAGCTGAAGAAAAAATTGTTTGACAGGAATAGAAAGAGCTGACAGAAACAGAAAAAATAATAAGTGCTGGCAGACAAAGAGGTTGTAACCTGAAGGAAGTGAATGTGGCTTTTTGGGGAACATGGATTGGTTTGTAAAGAGAATTCAGCTTGCAGAGAGAAAAGGATGAGCTGGTCTTGACAGAGGCTTTTTATGGGAAAAGATTGAAACATTTATATTAGAAAATATTTCATTTACTTTCAGGCTTTGATGTACTGTATGAAAATATTGCTCTTTCATTTATGTCTTGAAAGAATCTGCCTGTCAGGATTCAAATAACTAATTTGCGCGCAATAATCATGCAGGAGTTTTGTGAACACATTTTATCAGCATTCATCACATCTATGGTCAGGATTTTATATTAAAGACAAGGAAAAAGTAGGCGATTGTAAAATTAATGTGAAATATGCTATCTATATTTTTTACAACTTCCTACTCCTTTACAGTTTCAAGGCTTATGGCGAGTGTTTACAGTTTTGCATATTTATACAAAGATTTTTCACCATTTCTCTTTGCAGAATATCTCATGCTCAATCAGCTCATATAGAAAGTATCCTTGAATATACATTTTCAAAGCCTTGCTAAAGTCTTTTGAATGTATTTAGGCATGGACCATACACACTTTAGAATATGCTTTGACCCAGACCATATTGTTGCAACCTCTGTGCTGCTTATAACTTTGTTCCCAACATGGCTTCAAGCAACAGTAAAAAAAAATCTTTTAAGAGCTTCTCATGAAAGCTAGAGCTTTCATGAAACAGCTAGATCCACAGAAATTAAATCAATAATTACTATTTTTTTTACTTCCAAAGTGACTAGCTGCACTGTATTTAATTTAGAAAATAAATGCACACCACACTTATTTGTGGTGCAATAATTTATGCTTGTTGGATAAAACCAAAATGAGCTGTAGTTCTTCTCTTCTGTCTGACATATATTTCATAGAACTGTTGATATGTTGGCACAGGATCTAGTGTAATAAAGTAGGATTTTACAAGCTGTCAGTACCAACAATAGTTTTGGATATAAGGTATAATTTCCGCTTGATTTGACACAAAAGCTTTGACTTATGGTGACATTCTCACATGTACCTAAATCAAATAACTACTTCAACACATTCTTTTTTTGACAACTCCAGTTTTTCCTTTAAAATGACTTTTTAAACTAAAAGTCCAGCTTGTCATTATTGTGTCTGAAGCCAAGTTGCCATAACACTGGAAAATGTGTGCAGTCACAACTGCGGAGGAAGCCTTACTTTGTGACAGCTCATGTTTTAAATAAATAATGCTTCACACTTTGTCTCAGCCCATACAAGGTAATTTATTCCAGGTTCCCCCTTTTTCCCTCCCACCTTCATGTCTGTCAGAAACACTCTATGCACTGCTGGATGAGGTGAAAGATTATTTAATCTTTATTTCAGCATCCCTTTTCTTACCTCAGACATGGTTAGAGTGCCCTTGGATGCTATGGCATAAAAACAAAAAAAG